GACTGGGGTTGTTTCTTCGGGTCTCATAGATGAAGTGAGCAATCACCAGCAAGCATATGAAAATATAATTAATTTAGATATGGATAAGTTTTCTACAGCAAATGGATTCTTGGTTTATTCTTTCAATTGGAGCTTTAATGCCGAAGAGTCACAGAAATAATCTGCTGGAGATCAAGATTATTCTGCTACTGAGCAAATTTAAAACACAGAACCCTTTATTGATGAAGAATCAATTGAAGAACATACTCCAAAAAATTATTGTCCAAAAGAAAGGTTTGAACCAGCGACGGAGCTGCCCTAGGGGAGTGGTGGGGCGGCCACCCCAGCTACCGGCGCCGTAGCCACAGACCATCGAACCCCCTTTTCTGCGGTTCTGCCCTATCTCCGGCGACCGGCTGCCGATGACGCGAGGCAGAGCGCCATGGCGAGCGTCGAGCGGTCAGGTCCATGGTTGCTGGCTTGTTGCTCCCTGCTGGGCCTTTTTTTTGTCAATTTAGTCTAGCCCAGTAAAGGCCCAAATTTGGTCCCCAGTTCCCGAATCCCAATTGGTCGAGCGCATCGTCATCCGGCCGCATCAAGCACGCGCCGCCACGGCACTGCCGCTAGCGGCCGCCGACCTGCCACCGCCCCACCTGGCAGCGGCCCACCCAGCGCCCATTCGCCCGCCGACCGCCGCCAGGTGCCCAGCCCTAGCCCAGGTGCGCCCGCCGTTTGCCGAGGTCCGAGGAGCAGGAGCTGCCCACTGCCCCACTAGAGCTTCTGATGGAGGGAGGAGGAGAGGAGGAGGGGGTGAGGTACAGGAACCTGACGCTGGGGCTGGCCGTGGCCGCGGACAAGTTAGGGGCAGAGCAAGGGCAGCAGCTCCGTTAACGTCAAGAAAGGGATCTTCAAGGAACTTGGTATTGATAAAGTTAAGAAGAGGTTTGATGAATCTATGAAAAACCGAAGAGTGAGCTTGCCAAAGAGCTCTCGATGTCATCAACGTTCTTAGTCCTTCACCACTAGTAAGTGTATTATCATAATGTCCACTATTGTTTGAGGGCTACCATCGTTTTATTGTTATTCACTAAAACGCTAATTGATATTCATTCAATCTACAGGTTCAATCAGTCTTAGTTATTTGTATTTTGCAATGTATGGATCAACTGAAGGGCGGGCCTGGTGCAAGCAGTAGAGTCTTACCGCCTGTGACCGGAAGGTCCCGGGTTCGAGTCGCGGTTTCCTCGCATTGCACAGGCGAGGGTAAGGCTTGCCACTGACACCCTTCCTCAGACCCCGCACAGAGTGGGAGCTCTCTGCTCTGGATACGTCCTTTTTTAATGTATGGATCAACTGATCAAGAACTACTAGTTTAATCTTCAAATTTGAGATAACATCTTGTGTTTCTTGTCTACTTTTCACCATAACGTGTGATTGCAGTGTTTTTGCCATGATTTGTGTGATTGTAGTATGCAAATGCGGTGCGTTATGAATACGGTGTCTTTTTGATTCATTTCCTTGTTGAACTTCGTCTCACCTATAATTTTTTTCTGGCTCCGTCACTGGTTTGAACCATCCTTTCATCAATATCCTAGTGCAAATGCATGAGTGAGATAGCCATACATATACTAACATCTTTTGTTTTCCTCCTGTTTTTGTTTTTAGATTTTGTCACTGACACCTCAGGATAAGCATTGCAGTGCTCTAACTGGTATTGATTTGCAGCGCTCCTATTTTTTTCAAAATTGTTCATTTGGTTGGTTTCTGGATCGATAAGCCCCGCTGGTGGGCCGGTTTGTTGTGAGAGAAAAAACATCATTGTTGGGTGGTGATAAGCCATCTTGAAACAAAAATGTTTAACATCTTGTTTGATAGATCTCTGATTGATTGATGTCCATTTTATTTTGAGTCGAGTTTAGGTTTATAACTTCATACAAATTGTGATGTATCAAAATTTCTAAGCATTCTCTTTGACCTCAATTTATGTTCAGTAGTATAGAAACTACATCAGTTTCAGGCTTTTAACATAACCTGTTCATCCCAACTCACTGATGTAATTTCAAGACAGTAATCAACTCAAACATCCCGTTGTTCCTTATCTGAACCGGATCCGGTGACTAAAATTTAGGATGTATCACGTGAGGGTGTCGCATGGGATGTTCGGATACTAATAAAAAAATAAATTAAAGAATCCGTCAGTACTCCTCGAGACGAATTTATTAAGCCTAATTAATCCATCACTAGCCCATGTTTACTGAAGCACTACATTGTCAAATCATAGACTAATTAGACTTAAAAGATTCATCTCACAAATTAGTCGCAAGCTGTATAATTAGTTTCGTGACTAGTCTATATTTAATACTCCATACATGTGCCAAACATCCGGAACAACGACTCAAAAAGGTTTACGAGGAGAAACCAAACACCACCTTATCTAAACTCAAGCAGGACTGCACAGTGCAGGAACCTGACACGCATATGCCATTAAGAGTTCAGAAAAAAAAAACTCCGTAGGCCTGGCGTACCTCGAGTGCCGTCGCGGAAGGTGTTGGGAGCCCCTCGCGGCAGTCGTACTCAGCCAGCCCCAGCATATGCACCCTCGCGAGGGTGAGGGCCGAGAACGACGGTGAGGGCCCTCGCGGCAGTCCTCCTCGCCGAGCCCTAGCAGCCCAGCAGCGCACGCACGGCTGAGAGGATGAGGACGAGCACGAGCACGAAGACGGCGAAGTGAGAGGTGGCAGCTAGGCGATGAGGGCGACAGAGGTGTGCCTGGGTTGCAGTCGTCGAGTAGGGCGAGGCCCACGCTGGTGTACCTGCCGCCATCGCCGCCACAGGAGGAGGAGGCCGAGAGGCGGGACGCTCAGCGATGGCGTCGGGGACGAGACGAAGGGCGAGGTGAAGGGCGGGAGGAGTCGCGTTTTTTTTTTCTGATGAGAGGAATCGAAAGGGCAAGGGAACCAGGTGGCTGCGTGGCCGCGGACTAGGTGTCGCTAAAAAAGTTCGAATGCATCTATATAACGTGATATTTTTTTTCCTCCTTAGCCATTCCGTTCAGTTTCTGTTTGGTTTTTACCATTAGCCAGTTCTAACACGTGGGTCCAGTCAGTAAAAACGTCTAAAATATCCTTCTCTCGTAACCTCGTCGGCTACCTCTTTCTCTCTCCGTTGGATGAGGTAAGCTGTCAGCGACTCCAATGCCTTCTTCCTCCTCAACAAGAGTAACACGAGCTGAGAGGCCTGAGGATCTGGGCTTGCCATGCCAAGCGGGAACACAGAGAGGGGAGCGCGCGGCTTGCGGCTACCATCACCAGCAAGACCGCGTGGGGCCCATGGCCCGGCGGTGACAGCGGTGGGGCTGGCTGCCCTGCATGCCTGCGGCGGCGGCCTAGCTCGCTTCATGACGCGGCCCGGCGGCGGCGGCCGCCGGCCGGTCAGCCTGCTCGCCAGCCAGCACCCTGTGGTGGTGGACCACAGCACCTCCGCGCCCAGGGTGCCTCGCGAAAGTTGTCCGGCCCTTCGGTTTCCAGCGTTAGCTGAGCATCGCCACGCCAAAGCCCGCGAAGCGGCAATGCCGCTAGATGTGCCGGTCCTGTTGTGGCGGAGCTCGCTCACTAGCTCGTCGATGCCTCACGCCAAAGTCGCCTCGGCGCTTGCCGCGATTCTGAGCCTGTTCTGTTCGACGAAATGCCGCACCGGGGCGTCGTCACCGGACCTCGCTCCTCACGGGGCTCGCGGCATCAATGCCGCCACGGCGGCCGTTCGTCGTCGCATCCACCATGCATGGTCGCCATGGCGGCGATCCGAGCTCACGATGCCGCTTCATGATGATGGTCGGGCGGTCGGGCCGGAAAGCTCACCCATACGGGCCGCGGCCCAACCACGCCACTCCATGCCAACCAACCTCCTCGGCTCCTCGTCGCTATCCGCGGCTATCCCCTCCCTCACCGCTATAAATAGGCGCCGGCGCAATGGTCCGCTCCTTCCCCTCCTCTTGCTGGCCGCCCGCCTCGCGCCCACACCAGCTCACGCGCACGCCCACATCGCGGCGCCACGCGCGTCGCAAGCGCCTGCTGCAACTGCTCGCACCACCGGCAGCGATCGCCGTAGCGTCGGGGCAGGTAGCGGCGGCCATGGCGGTGGACCGCGTGGACGGCAAGGAGGCGTTCGAGGACATCATCGGCTTCCACAAGGTGTGGCTGGACCGCGATGCCGGCGTGCTCAATTTCATCACCGAGGTCTGCACCTCCGGGAGCTCCTGGTGCTCGTGGTCACTGCACACTTCTCGACTCCGCCGGCACCAGCGCTGGTGACCTCCCCGGGCGGGCGTGGCTGCATCCGCGACCCCTCCCAGCACGCCACCGTGCTGGGGACGACACCGGCCGGCACCAGAGGCCCCACCTCGCAAGCGTGCCTGGCCACTAACGTGTCCGTGCGTGTTTTTTTTTTGCATAGTGTTCAGACCTAGGGTCAGTTTGGACTTTTCATGCAACAATTTCCATCATACGCAAAAATGAACGAAATGGCGTGAAAGAAAAAAAAATTAGTATCATGATACCAGAATGCGTTCAAACTTCTTTCGTACGTGGAACCAGGTGGGTGCGTGGGCTTCGGGAGGTAGGGGAGTCGAAGGCAAAACGAATTTTTTTTTTTTTGGGGTGGGGTGTGGGGGCGTTGAACGATTGCAGTTTAGGCTTTTTAGGAGTAGATAAAGATTTGTTCAACTGCAAACGCCGTTATCCAGCCCTTTCTTTTCCTGCTATAATAAATAGGAGTAAATCTCACTACATCCCTTCATCAAATCAGAGACATGTCGCTATCCAGATTATGATATTCCATGCCGCTCACATCGCGTTGCTTACTATACAACAATACACTGCCAGTTCATATATGGTCGACTCGAGGGTCAATAAAAAAAATCTGCACTGCTATTAACTCAATTCACAATACACGGGTTTGGCCGTTTGGGCACCATATTTCGTAAGCCATGGGCTCCCCAGGTTAGAAGGCTCAGAGATTATGAATTACGACCTCACTTTAGCAAGCCGTGCCCTGATCTCTTCTAGGTCTTCCTCGTCATCGTCAGCGCCCTCTGCAACAGCTTGCCGCTGCAAAAGAAATAAAGGGAAAGAGAAATGTTATTACAACCAGAGTCCTAGAATCCACGACGAAAACAAACTCAAACAGCCACATCAATCGCTTGTGACCAAACATATACTATCGAGAGTATATCAATACTTAAATTGTTTCCAGTTTCCACCCTGAACATACAGCAGTCAATGACATCTTTACTTCCCAAAATCCACTTCCCATACAACAGTAGCTTCTTGAAAGGCATACATTCCTCCTTTGCACCGTTCCATGTCCACATACATGCAATCATAGTTAAGGGGAACGGTAGTTACCTCTTCTGGAACCCTGCTTGTTGAAGCCTCATGTATCTTCTGTGTCCTGGCAGCATCTGGTAGCTGGGAGGCAGTCTCCCCTGCTACTGAAGCAAGAACCTTGTCAACCTCCTCTTCGATTTCCTCCTCCATGTCCTCAGAGTCCAAAGCTGAATCAACTGCCTCGTTCACCATCTCTTCCATCACACCTGCCTAGACTCAGAACAGTAAAATGTTAGTTTCAGTTATCGCCACTAAAGAATTTAAATCTTTGAACAAGAAAGAAGAAATGCAAAAGATTACCTTGGTCATTTCTTTGCTAAATTCTTGCATCGTGGTAGCCAACTCTGGAGCTTTCATTAGATTGTTAACAATTTTCATCACTTCAGTGCTTTTGGACAGATGACCCACTGTTCTTGCAGTTGCTGAAAATTGCATTCGAGGAAATTACTAGTTTGTGAAACAAGGAAATGGAAGGCATAAAGTGAGAGCACCACTCCCTAGCCCAAAGGAAACAATGAAATGAAATAGGATGCAGCTCCATTCTATAAAAAGAGGATTTACAAGGGTGAACATGAAATACAGTGCTGCCAGTTGTGATTTTGTTAATTTATAGGTCCTGTTTGATCTGCAAGTTTACTGGGCAATTGCAGCAAAACAAACTTAGCACACACCCAGATTCAAATGACATAACATGTGATTTCATTGTATGAGGTGCTGCAATCACAGAAAGAACGTTTAAAAACACTCTGGGAAGATATACCTGGTGGCAAAAGATAAGTTGTCCAAAAAAAAAAATCAGGAGATGTATTGAATATTGATGCTGCATTACTTATCCCCAAGAAAGTAGAAGGGCGTGCCTTTTAATATTAACATTAACTAACAGAATCACTCTTCCAGAAATTAAAAGGACACTTTCATGGATAACATCAGACACCAAACCAATAAAAAAGAAATCATAAAAAAAGCCATACCGACAATTTCTCCAAGGTGCATTGATACTGAATTTAGTTGAGCCTTGTTTTCGTAAAGACGATTAACAGCACGTCTTGATCTTACAAGTTCCTTAGCAAGAGCCTGGCATGAAAAATATGTCATAACATCAATAGTACACCAAAGTGCTAGGCCTTATTTTGACAGATAAGATCAGTGATGAAAAATTGACATTGTATATGTCTGTTGTTGAAACTTGAAACCTGATATGTGAAGGAACAAAACATACAGATGATGGTACATGTGAATGAGATTTGTGTTCATGAACTAACGAATTCTTTGTAACAACCAACAAGGTGTTCAAGATAACCACGCATAGACCTTTGTGCCCCCCAGTATGCGGCTTTGCTGCTTATAATGATTTTTTCGTGAAAACTGGGACAACAGTATTGCTGCTGGGAATAGTTTCTAACTCATTTTTACAACTTCAAGTGGTTTGTGCTTAATTCTGTAGTCCTGAGAGCAACCAGCACCACCATGACGACTTGGTGGACAAGCAATCTACCATTGTCTTATATAGTTTGACACACTTCAATCCCTAATTACTTACAAGCTCTTGGTAGTTTGGAACATGTTTTAAAGTGGCATGAGTGTGCTTTCTTTGTTCTCTGCTATTGTAACGCCCCAGCTCTGAAATAGTTAGTAATATCAACGACATTCTTGACTCTTGAGAAATAAAACAATGACAACTTACTACCACCACTACCAATTACATTTCTAAGTCACATGTGAGGCAACTATTTAGGAACATGAAAGTAAAAAAAAAAATTGAGATCTAACATTAGTAACTATTTGTATAGTACTATAGTTTGCATTTCTTTCTGATGATGAACAAATCAAAGATCAGAAGAAATTATATTTGGCTGGCATGTGGCATATTAACGCAGAGTCAAATATGAAGATTAATCATATATAATATATTGATGTTTTCCATTATTTCTATCATTGGATACAGATTTAATGTAGCATGTTCCATGAAGGTAAGATAACCACACAACACGATAAAAGGTAAGAAATAGAGAGAGAAAAATCCAATCATCCTCAACCTGTATACTTTTTTTAAAAAAAAACATATTCACGATTTCACGTTCACTCTCTTTGTTGTGCGAAAACCGGCTCATGTAATAGGACTCAAATCCTCATTACACAAGGAAATGAACATCAATTCTAAAACCTTAGGTTTAGTGGCAGGAGATCAATTTGATTTGTATCCAGTGGCGGAGCTCTCGGTAGGGCTAGGTATGGCAGCCACCCTACCTCAAATCTGCCATGCTCTTCATTATCCTGGCTGGTTCACATGTCATCTCTCAATGGCTATGCAATTAATCAAGGCAGGGAGCTCAGATGATTCTACGGTGCCACACCTTGCATTCTATTTGTCCTCCGCCACTGTTCGTATCTACATTGCTCCTAGATTCACCTTGACAAACTGTGCCACTCTCAGAATCCCAACGACCCATGCTACAAGAGAGAAAGCAGAGGAACACTTATACAGAAAACAAGAAGATTAAACTAGCCGTACCTTCGCAGATCCCATGTCATTGCGCTTGGCAGCCTCCCTGATGGTTTTCTCCACATTCTTCTCCTCCCTCTGCACATCTGCAAAAACAAAGAGAACGAAGTAAGAACAATTCATACCCAAAATTACTTACAGGTAAGGGTTAAGGGTTTGGCGCCCAGCCCCCACGATCGGAAGAACCGCTCGGCTAATCGCGTCACCGCGTTGGCCATTTCTGAGGCAAACCAGAGCACCAAGCAACACCCGGCCACCCATCCTTGAAAACCCCTAGCCGTCCCAATCACACCTAGTCCCCGCCCACGCGAGCCTGATCACCAGTCCCCTTGGTGACCGGGGGAAGGAGAAGTGGGGGAAAGAGAAGGGAAGGAGATGCGGGCGCGTTCGGGGGAGGAGTAGGACCTCGGATCTGGCGGTCGAGGACGCGGCACTCGTTGCGGAGGCGGCGCTGCCACTCGCGCAGCTGCTGCTGCGGCGTCGGCCGCGGCTTGAGCATGTTCTTCACCTTCTCCATCGGCGCCGGCGGCCCGGGGACAGATCGGAGGCGAATCCACACTCGGTTCCAAGACGAAGCTTCACGCGGGAGAAGAGACGGGGGAGGAGAAAGCGATGACGAAGAACCGTGAAACGGCGTTGCCTTCCATAGACTGACTCCAACGGAGCACCCAAACCCACTAATAGGTTTGTACAGTGCTTTTGCTTATAAAAAAAACAACTTTTACGGATGACCCATCCACGCGACGCACTTTGCCTGCCCGGCCAAGCGAAATGCAAAAAAACGTCGCTCTCTCCTCGCAGCGCAAATCTCCGATGGTGGCTGCGGCCGCACGCGATGGAGAAGCCGGGCCGCCGCTGCCAAGCTTGAAGCGGCGAGATTTGCAGCGCTCTATTCTGCCCAAAGATATCGAAGCCATCGTCGTAAGCGTCGTGCTCTTTCCTCCCCTTCTTCCCGCCCCCTCGCCTTCTTCCCGCTCCTCCCTCCCTCTCCAGCACCGCCATGTTGGCCTCACACCTCCGCCTCGCCCCAATTGTAGCTCGAGCTCGTGTGTCGTGAATCGCCATCATTATCACTCGCCTCTGCTCCCTCTTCCCTCCCTTCCTTGTTCTCTCTCTTTCTCTTCCTCCGTGTCGCTTTCCTCCGGGATCCAAGCCGAGGCGCGGAGGATGAGGGGTTAGAGGGGCAGCAATTGGTTCGGCGCCACGATCGCCGTCGGCCTCTACATCGTCGTGCGGTCCGCCGCCACCTTCCTCTTCTTCTCCCTGCTCCCCTGCTTCTCCCTCCCTTCAATCCACGCCGAGGCAATGGCGTCGCCGAGCGCTCTCCCTTCCCCCTCTCCCCTTGCATCACCCGCCGGGGCTAACCGCCGCCCCACCCGAGCCCACAGGGGAGCCGTCAACTGTGGCACAAAGGGGGGAGGGGAGTGGCCAGCGCCATGACAGCGCCATGGTGCCGGTGGTGCGTCCGTTCTGTGCCTCACTGCCGTCTTGGAGGAGCCTTGACGGAGGATTTTGGTTTCATTGTTGTTGGAGAAGGAAGTTTTTTGGGTCCGTCACCTTTGCCTGTACGGGACTCAAATCCTCGGATAGGTCTCGTGTTTGCCTTCCCACTGTTGGAGACAGTCTAAGTTGCTTCTAAACCATGTATCGACTTTGGGAGATCACGGCTGCACATACTTCACACGGGCTGAAGATATGTTCTTATTTTTTTCATTTTGGATTTGAATGATTGTAGCCTATAACAACTAGTCAACTAACATCGGAGATTAAAAAAATTGACATCGGTTGTAATTGTATCAAATCAATTAGACCATTTTCGATTGGTGCTGCCCTAGCCTCAACATTCGCATAAAAATAAAATGCTTCACTAGGTTATGGTCACAAAGTGTCCCAACAATTTTTCCGAGTACATATTAGAGCAGCTCAAGGCGATTAGGTGGTGTAAGTTTGACAAAAGCTGAAGCTACTTTTAATGGAAAAACAACAACTTGCGGTGGAATATTTGTAGCGTTAGGCCCTTTTTGGGCTCCTCTCCGGCTCCTTCGGAGGAGCTTGTTTCTTTGTCTGGCTCCTCCAGATAAGCTCTTGAGGAGGAGTATTGCCAAATGAGGCCTTAATTGATAGATGATCTACACCTTTTAGCTCAAACATACTATGGTTTTGACAATTTGTGTTGTTGCTACCCTTAGGATGATAGGGTCCTTGATTGCAAGGAGATAAGCGAGAGTAAGTATATATCCAACTTTTTGGGTCTACGAAAGCAAATAGTGACACCCATGTAAGGGTACATCTTGCGATTAATAGAAGGTGGTCTTAGTTCATCCCTGCACATATATGGAGTGGGGGGGGCGATCTAACCCTCCTTACCTCCATATTGTCCAAGTAGCCCCTTAAAGTCCTATCTAAATTTTGTTGCCATAGATGAGGAGGAGAAAGGAGAAAGAAGAGGAAGAGGAGAGGAGAGAAGGGGGAAGATGAGCCCCGCTCCCACGAGTCCCTGCGTCCACCCCTGACTGCAAGCATATCTCCTCCTTTGGGGAGGGACTTGATTAGTAGATAACCAATGTTGATAAAACTCTAGGGGTCTCAGACATTAACTAGGGCTTGTTTGGATGGACTAGGACTAGTGATTAGGTGACTAGTGATCAACCCAATCCTATTGTAATCCAAGGGCTAACACTACTAGAAATATCCACTTCTATGATAAAATCTTAATGATGAATCCGAAACCGTCATAGAATAGCATTTTTATGACGAATATTTCTGTTTTATCATAAATCAATGGTGACGATCCTATAACCCTTCATTTCTATGATGAAATCAGGCATCATCACAAAAAACATCATAGAAGAGCGTAGGGTTTCGTCATAGATCACCCGCGTGACTCATATGTGACGATCTCCTTTAAAGCTACGATGAACAGGGCTTCATCATTGAACTAATTACACATCTATGATGAATAATATTCGATCTATAACGAATGGCTTCGTCATAGATCTCCACACGGTACTTTCTCCATCCGATGTGTACCTGTGGGACCTGCAGTTACTCATCCATGACGCTTGCAATTCATCATAAAAGTCTCCACTCGATCCTTTCTCCATGCAATGTGTTCCTATGGGACCCTTCTTCATCCGACGTGTACCTGTGGGACCTATAGTTACTCATCCATGACGCTTGTAATTCATCATAAAAGTCTTCGCTAGGTTCTTTCTCCATCCGACGTGTACCTATGGGACCCTTCCGCATCCGACCTGTGGGACCCGATGTCTTACGTGTCACGTGTACCTATGAGACCCGACGGCCCATCTTCATCTGACCTATGGGACCCGACGGCCCATCTCCATCCGACCTTTGGGACTCAACGACTTGCGTGTCACTTGGCGCTTGTAATTCATCATAAAAGTCTTCGCTTGGTCCTTCTGCATCCGACCTATGGGACCCGAACGACTTACGTGTCACGTGTATCTATGGGACCTTTCTTTATCTCCTTCCGACTTGTGGGACCCAACGGTTTGCGTGTCACTTGTACCATGTATGTCGTCGGGGTTTAATTTCTCAAAAAAGGTCTGATACCTGGGAGTCGAACATAGGATTTGGACCAAGGATTGGAGCATCTTTACCATTGCGCTAGACGCCTGGCTGTGCTGACATCTCTTTAGAATAGTTATAGTATCCTATTAGGTGTGTGGATGCCCTACAGGTTGATCTAAATTTGATATATCCCTTGCAAGTGGAAACAAATCTTGTCTTGCTGGACTTGTGGTGGCGGCGGCGGAGGCGGAGGTGGAGGATCCTCGGTCTATTGTGGTGGCTTAGGCATCCTTTTGGGGGCGTGGCAGGGCTCTCTCGGTGGAGCATGGCGGCATTGGTGTCCGCGTGATCAGGTGTGTGCCGCGGCAGAGGCGGCTTGCAGCTGAACCATGCCAATTCGTATAACAAAGGTATGAGTACCTTCTTTTGTGATTATAGAACTCCATTTTCTGTACATGATAAAGTAAAGAACACATAAAGAAAAGCTATTCTGTATGAATTTCAATTAAAATCAATGCTTTTGTCACACAAAAATAGAAAACCAGACTGTCTCATAGTATGATATGAACAAATGCATAGATTAGTGCTCTTGAACACTGTATGCTTTGTTCTAATGCTAGTTTTGCCATTGTCCACCCAATGGTTGAAACTCTAATGAACTTTGCATACTTTTGCTGCAACAGATGGATAGATCTTGGATTCCTAATGAGATACCATTCTCGCCGATGTTCATCGCAGGAGTTGAAGAGTTCATGGATATGGTTAAACAAAAATACCTAGAGCAAAAGATCCCTTGCCCATGTACACATTGTCTTAACCAGGTGGTTAAAACATGGCAGGAGGTGAAGGATGACTTACTTATACATAGAATGTTACCAACATACATCAAATGGATTTATCATGGGAAAGAGAGAGGAGGTACTGACATTATAGAGCCATCAGATGTGCATGGATCTCATCATGATGGTTGGATTGCGGAGGAGGAGGAGGAGCAGGAGGACCATGATGATAACATATTACTAGATTTTGATGATTTAGTTCAAAACCTGTTAACATTTGAAGAGTGGGCTGGAAGAGTCCCAAAGTTTGAAAGAGTGTCGGATGAGTTGAAGCAATTAGTTTCTTCTAGATCTACCTTCTCAAGATTCTCATTCCTTGTTAGGTTGCTCTATATCAAGTCCCACTATCGAGTTAGCAACAACTATTTTGATGCACTATTGGCATTGTTGTAAGATACATTTCCTAGTAGCAACGAACCAAAATCATGTGAGGAGGCACGCAAATATATTTGAGAATTGGGACAATGTTATAAAAGTATCCATGTGTGCAAGAACAATTGTGTGTTGTTTTGGGGTGATCATGTGAGGAATTGCAAGCATGCTCAAAATGCAAAGAGTCTAGATGGGAGGATGCAGATGGGAGCAGGCAGGTTCCTCATAAGGTTTTGAGGCATTTTCCTCTAATACCAAGGTTACAGAGGATCTTTGCTGCTCAAGGAACAACAACGGACGCCGAATGGCACGAGACTAAGCAAGAGAAGAATACCAGTGAAATGAGCCATCCAGCAGACGGGGAGGCATGGTAGGACTTTGATAGAAAAGCATCAAATTTTTGCAGATGATCCAAGGAACTTGAGGCTTGCCGTCGCCATAGATGGTTTCAATCCATTTGGAAACTTTAGCTCAATATATGGTATGTGGCCTGTTCTTGTAACACCTCTAAACCTGCCACCATGGAAATGTGTGAACCAATCGAATTGCTTTTTGTCTCTACTGATCCTAGGCCCAACCTCTCTAGGAAAGAATTTTGATGTATTCTAGAAGAACTGAAAGAACTATGGAAGGGTGTCGACACTTTTCATGTACTACATCGTGATAATAAGAAAGGCTTCACTCTATGCGCTGTCGTGCTTTGGTGCATACATGATTTTCTAGCATTGAGCACTTTGTTAGGCCGAACTACAAAAGGTTATTATACATGTAT